TACTTCACAGGTATTTTTTCATTACAGAGAATTAGAAAAATATTTTAGGTTCAGTATTTTATCTATTGTAAAGCAAAGATTGAAATGGTTGCATAAAGTGTGATGCAAGAAGTTTAGAATGTAATCGACTTATCTTTTTTATTATTTCAACGCATATACTGGAACCTATGTATTTTATCCAGTATTAGTATATTTTTTAATTTAATTAAAAAATCAAAAATGTTATACTTTTCTTGTGTGGTAAAATATGTATTCGCCGTGGTTGAACTGAGAAAATGTTATTGATACATTATAATAAAAAAGACTTAATGTAATTTAAAGCAATTTCGATGATATTTAAAAAATCATTTTTCTTTACAGGTTATGCGAACGTGTTACTCAATTGTGTCGGTGTTCGTAAACTCAACAGTTAAGCATCAGTAGTTATTTATTATTATTAAAATTAAATATTTATATTTTGTTGCTTAAAAAACACCGTTGCGAATGATCGTTAAGGTTATAAATGTATTTTTGCAGTTGACTACTAAATTATAATAATGAATAGTACAATAATTAAGTATATAACACTATATTAATAATACATGAGTAATTCTAATAGGTAATAATAATACAGTTTTAATATGTAATTTGACACCATAATGCAATTATCATGTATTTTTTTATTCAAAATATAAAACTATGTTTGTTTTAACTTTTAAAAAATTGTACGACTAGCTTAATACAATATTTTATATGCAGAACTTACCAAATGTATACATTAGTTAGCCTTTTCTGGTCTCTACCGTGATATATTGCACTAAGTGGTACAATTATTAATGTAAGTCACACTTAATTCTTATTAGACCTAACTTTATCTCTAAATACCTCAATTTCGATCTCTCTATTAATTATTTTTGTACTTTTTACTTTCAACATGCCCATTCTTTCATACGACGTTAGTAAAGGTTATGGGACCACAGAGACTATCTGGTTTTAAGATACAAACAAAATTTAAGGTACTAAGACAACAATATTGTCAGTTAAGGGAGACGGAAAGCGCTATTTATTAAGGGGCAAAGGATAGGCAATATTTGACAATAATTGAGCTAATAACCATTTTTCATACGCCTACTAATTTCAAGGTGAACACGTATTACAATTTTCTAATTATAATACTTTAAAAGTTATTTTTCTCCGAGTTGTGACGAAAGTTTGATAAAAAATTACTTTCGTAGAAGTCATTTTCAGGTGTATCTATTGGACGGATTTCAAGTTTTTTTATTTTTTTGCAAAGCTTACTATTTTTTCTATGGGGGTTAAAACCAGGCCGATTTTTGATTTAGCGATTAAAAAAGTAGTAGAAAAAAACGATAAAAAAGTAAAAATAAAAATGCTTATAAATATTTTTGAAAACAAAAATAAAAAATCGGCCTTTTAGCCATCATTGAGAAGATGTTAATCAATAAAAATAATAATAATAATAGTAATTAACATCAGGGCCATGATATAAAATATTCTACCTAAAAAGTTTTCCTTCGTCATTATCGCATTAATGAAAGTATCGAGAAAAGTAAATATTGTATAATAACATGGTATGATAGTATATTTAAAAACTATCGTACATGACCGCCTACACATAATCATAACTTTTAATCATATGAAGAAGTATCAGTCTTTGTGTACTACTTGCCACGACACACAAAACGCCGAGTTTTAAGTACCAATTTGTTGGTGTATTTTCTTTCTACTTGGTAATATCGCCGACTTCATAAAACGCAGGTAAAAAATGTATTAGTCTTCACAGAAATTAACTCACTTCTATGCACCGTATTCAGTAATAATAATCGTAAAATGTACTTATATTTGCTTCAAAAATTATAAGTCAAATTAGTCATAATTTTTATTCATAATAATTTTCGATGTCTAACGTTTTAGCCAGCAATTTATACAATATTTCCACACTTGGTGTTAGAATCAAAATAAAAGTATACTCACCAGAAATTGAGTTCAAAGCTATAATCTGATTGGGACTCATCAAATATACTTTCAAGTTACAATACAAAGTTGAATAGCTTTGACTTTTTACGAGGTCAACCGATTTTGACCATTAGGTAATACCGAATAAGAGTGGACATTTTCCATATCCTCTCCCCCCCTCCCAAATATCATCCGTAGGATTCTTTACTTTTAATAGTAATACAAATTTAAAATACCTATATTAGTATATTATCAAAAATAAACATTATTTAAAATTAACCAAACTAAAGGTTCCATGTAGAACCTTAATGTAATCAATTTAAATTTAAAGTTCTTACGTAATATGATAACCTTGTACTCATACGTTTCATTAAATATTACCTACTTAATATTTAAATGTGATAAATAATTAAAAAAGTTAATTATTAGATTATAGTTATAAAAAAGTTTAACAAACTTTTCGAAGAACAAAATAATTATCATAATAATTAGATATAAAAGTTTAAAGTGGCATAATTAATGTGTTCTAATTATAAAAAAAAAATGTTAAACACGAAAGAAATATATTAATTAGGCATACAATTGAAAGAGCTATAAATACTTTATAGTTAACACTATTTACATGACTTGAGGTTACTTCCACCTCCCTAACCTACCGCATGACTGATTGCCGTTATCAATAGTTTCTTGCTGTATTTCCGGCTCTCTTCGTCCCGTTTGGTCTCCGGTTTCCTTTGGTCCTCTTTTTAATTGATGTATACACCGGTTTCCACGTTTTGATCAATTTCCAACCATCTTCTCGGTTGAAGTTTGTTGAGCAAACCGGTGATACAAATCGTATCGTTGACACGGATATGTTTTTGTCTCGAGGTTAAACTAAAATTTGCGTGGGCACTTATTTAACCAAGTGACTTGGTTAAGAATTAATCAGTAATAATATTAATTATTTACACGTCCAAATTTCAGTGTTCGCCTATACCAAGATCATGTTGGACAAGAGTCAAGGTTCTAAATACATTTTTAACGTTCCTCTGGCCGTGTACACGGGCCAATACCATTTGCTAGACCCGAACGGCCCCAAGATTTTCGGATATAACACCGCTCAAGTCACGTGCATCGCGGTCGCCGTCTTAGTAATAACGATCACGATGGTCACCACTCCACTAGGGATCTACAATTGGATCAACGACACCAATCAGCTGTGCATGGAACTGGCCATATTGACTAACTTCACCTCTGCCAGCTACAAGATCATCTTCGTCATCTGGAACGCCAACGACATATGGAAATTCTTGGACGTCACCCGGTTGGACTTCGCGGGACTCGACGCGGCGGCAGTCGAGTCGCTCCGGAAGTGTCGGACGAAATCCATGAAGATCACCTACTTGTACACCGGTATAAGTTTGGTTTCGGTGCCGTTGTGGACGGTGGCACAGTCGACTTTATTCGAGGACAGCGTGTTGAGGATCAAGGGCAGAGACAACGCCTACCGCGAGTACAGGCTAAACGTGGTCAACATGTACATGCCGGTATCCGCAGAGATCATCAACAACGAGTACTACGTTTTTTTCAAATTGCTCGAAAACTTTTTGTGTGTGGCGTTTTTGTACTTTATGTTCGTGTTCGACACCATACTCGTTTCCACGTGCATGGCTTTGTGCAGTCAACTGGAGGCGATCGGACGCGCATTTTCATCGATTGGTCATAAGACGCCGGACGACGGTAAGTTCCCACTCGCATCAGTATATGTTATACTATATTTTCCTCGTGTGGTTTGAAAGATTTTGGTTAACTAGTAAATTTGGTTTCCTAAATGCTAGTTTAACCAGCGTTATTCTTTTTTTAATGCCTTTAAAATAGTTTTCTTGTCTTTTGCTGTTTGGCCATCAAATTGCAGTATTTTTTGATTTATCTATGTGCTAATTTCCAATTCTCTTACTTACAGTGTAGCTCACTCTCAAAATTATACTGGATAGTAGGTATGTTCACACGCCAGTTTTACATACTTCCAGTATAAAATTAAACTATATTATTATCAAAATATTCTGATATTATTCCTAAATAATAATTATTATTATTATGCTATTTACAGAAATAAGCAACAACTATAAAATGCAATATTATCTATTTACAGAACTAAACAAAAACGATGAACTAAACATAACGCCCGTTAATAATTATGAAGATTTGATAAACACTATTATAATTCATCAGAGAGTATTTAAGTGAGTTTTTTTTATTATATTGGTAAACTGGTTTTCATTGGCCGACTGCTTAAAAAAGTATTAAGTTAAATCAAAAGTGTACAAAAAACTAGAATGTATTATTAACATTTTTTTACAATAAAATAGTGTTAATGAAATTAATACTGAAAAAATCTGGACAGTAAGAATTTTCTAAACACAATTAATAGTACTTTATATTGAGCTTTTTACCTCAAAATGAGTAGCTGTGTATTTTTTTTTTACCAAAAACCACTCATTATAATTTTAACCGAACTCAAGAGATGGGTAAGGTTAGGTTTGGTAAATATTAGACAATATATTTAAAAATAGATATATATTGTTCAACACTTGCTTGATGTATCGATCGAAGTACATTTTTTATTATTGGTTTTTCATATTATTCAAAAGTAATCGTTCAAAATCTTGAGAAACATAACATTTTTCATATAAAAACTATTTATTAACTAAACATAATTTTAAAATTGTGCCACATATGATTTTTCAAAACTTACTCAAAACGGAGTACCTATTTTTAGTAACGTGTTAGGTTAGGTTAGCTTATGTACGTATCAAAATAGATATTCGTTTTCCTTATTAATATATCATATATGAGTTTATACATTTTAGCATCATGTTAAGTATAGCGAAATATTTCCTTTACAATGTGTCTAAGTAAATGCTAGTGTAGGACCCCTGAAGTAGTTGTATAAATTAACGATGATAAAAACAATTTACTTAATTTATTTTAAATGACCGTCATTTAATAATATTTTGTTTTATTTTCAGGAGAATGCAAGAGTTTCACAATATATTCGGTCAGGTTATTTTGACACATATAGCTGTGGCTTCGTGTACGGTAGTGTTTCTATTGTTAATAATATCAATGGTACCGTTATTATAATTACAATTTGTACATTATTTCAAACATAATAATATGAATTATAATGGGATTTAAAAAAAACGATTACAGAACTTTTACAAGGGAGAAATGACGGATCTCGTACATTCGTTGAAAATGTTTTCTGGTTTTACTATTTATGTGTTCCAATTATTTACCACGTGTTACCTGTATGGAAATCTAAAAATTCAGGTAATTACGACGGAAATAACTGTTGCACACAAAACGTTGTACGACAAAAAATATGATATAATATTATTATGGTGTATGTTTGTGGTTTAAATCGTTCAGAACGATTCGACCAATTTTTCAATATATAGCTGCAACTGGACAGTGATGGACTTGGAATGTCAAAAACTGATTCTTTTATCAATGAAAATGAACAACGCGTATCAGTTGGAAATGAAAATCACCAACACGAAGGTGGTCAACTTGCATCTGTTCGTTTCTGTATGTTTTTATATTTAGAAAATCATTTAGGTTCAATATGGTAATGTTTTGAAGTAGAAATTTAGAACTTTTATTTTTACTATTACCGCACCTATACTAGCACAAATATAATTTAATCCAGTCTTATTTAAAGTTTGTATTCTTAGGTTTAATTTAAAAATCTATAATACTTTTTTATTGTGTTGTTATTGTTCCAACCACCCTTATAAAACATGCTCCTGCCAAGGTCGAGTCACTATTTGTTGCCACATAATAATAAATTATTTCTTATACTTATTAACATAATTAAAAAAACATTTTTTTAACAGGTTATGCGAACATGTTACTCTATTGTGTCAGTGATCGTGAACTCAACAGTTGAACATCAGTAGTTATGTATTATTTTTATAATTAAATGTAGTTTAATGGATAATAACTTTTAGTTGATTTATTTACGTAATAAACTTATATTATCTAATAATAAATGACAAATCCAATACAAGAGATTTGGCGGTTTTTAAAATATGTTTTGCTTCGATGCGATAGCTGAGAAGGTATTGGTTTTTTAATGATGTATTTTTTTATTAAACGAAACAGTTATTCAAAAATCGACTTCCACAATACCTGACTAATAATACCCTAAAGCTTACACAAATTAGCCTTTAAATAAATTTACACGGTGGAAAATGACTAAAAACATTTTTTTCTTAAATATTGTCTATAAAAAACTTCTTAAAAAACCGACCAGCTTTTAACCCATAACAACCATTTATTGGAAATTTAACATGAACGTCCCATGTTAAAATTAAACATCGTCCAAATATTTTGTCAAATGTGTTTAAACAGCAGTGGTTAATTTTAGAAATAATATCTTTCCTCGTAGATTCATATTTTTAAAATATTTATTTAATTGCACGGTTAAATAAATTAATAACGTATTCCAGTTGTCTTATTTCATTTAAATGGTATTTATACTTTTCAACTAGATTGTGTGTGGTGGTCCAACTCCATTATACCGACCACTTAATATGTTGTTTTATAAACAAGGCGTTTTTAGGCTGAGAGTCAACCAAGAAATAATTATGTGTGAGTACTTTTGCATCACGTTAAACGCAACTCATTTCACGGCTTACTTGCTCGTTTACTTCATTTATTTATTTATTTATAACGAAGCCTAAAAACATTAACATGCTTTTAAATGTCTAGCATTAGATCATCAAAATATAAAATAGTTTTCAATTGTTATACTTTTAAGGTAGGTGTACCTACATCGTTCGTGTACTCTTCAAATGTGTATTATTGTGTTTTTACATAAAATTTAACGCACATATACTTGATTAATTTAAAATACCTATTGTCAGCCATGACAGCGCCGCGTTGTTGTTAAATAAACACCTCTTCGGGGTAGTAATCATTTATTCAGACACGGGACAGTTTCGACAGGTCCCCCTCAACGGAAATCATATGTAAAGTACAAACGCGCTCTCTTGTCGCCGACACAAATGTTAAAAACAATAAATATGGTTCAACTTCTTGACAAAGGCCGCGGTTAAACACTTTGCACAAACCGATCCGGGCAATGGCGTTGACCAGTACGCTGTTGCTCTCGTTGTGCGCTAATTGGCCACCGCCAAACACTACTGCGGTGACCACTTTACCGCCCCCTTGGAAATGGAGTAAGTCGTTAAAAAAATGTGTTATATTAAAACAAAACGATTTTTAATCGCTGTTATTAAAAACATGTAACTCGCTTTTTCCGCAGTTTCCGGTAACGCAGCCAAGGCGATCTACAACAAGGGGTATCACTGTGATTTGAAAAATAATGTACAAATCCGAAACGAAATCTTACGGGGCAAACGTCTGAAGATCGCAACCTTTCCGGTAGGTATTGCAATTTTGCAAACTTCAACTATACATTTCCAGATCCGTAGAACTCCCCTCGAATAGGCGTAGACTAGGGTGCGGTTGAACTGTGATTTAGGCAAATACGGTGTAGATCAATATGAATCACCCCCACTTGGGAGCTGAACAATTTTCAGACGGACAACCAATTGAATTAGGATTATAAATTGACTTAACGTTTGTTGCTAATGGTTATGGTGTAAATCTGAATTGCTCTTGAAAACGCAGGACACAGGACCACTGAGCTGGGTGACGACAGAACCGAACGGTACACTCATCGGTCACGGTATAGCTTTCGAAATCGTGGAAACTCTCCGGCAACGATACGGATTCACCTACGACGTTGTGGTGCCCACCAGGAAGACGCTGTTGAAAGAGAACGGAAGCATCGTGTACATGTTAGTGCAAGGGGTAAGACGACAGTAACTTATGTATGTGTCTGTGGACAACAGCTAATATGCCATGTACCTAGTAGCAGTGCACAATCGAATCGCCTCCATTTTTTTTCTTTAGTAACTGTTAGAACCGTATACGAATGGTTTTTTTAAGGATATCTGAATTACCTCCCAGGCCGGGTAAACAGTATAATGTATGAAAATTATTTATTTTATAATTTTACATATTATACACTCGCAAACTGCGTACAAACAAGTTGTAAATTATTTTAGTAAATTAAATAAATTTTCGTTATTTTAGAGTGAAATAAAAAACGCAATTATTTTACCACGGCTTAAAAAAATACAAAGGACTACTTTAGTCTATAAAAACATTAATATCGAAGTACCCGCCCATAACAACTAGGCCGTTAAAACGTGGTTATTTGGTCATCTCGTGTTGTGTTAAAAAAATATTATAACATAAAATATTGAAAATACTATTGGGTATTATAGAAGAAAAATTATTTTACAATTATCTTAAAAATCAGATATTCTCGTGAGGTAATTCGGATGAAAAATATTTATTACCTAACGCGGGAAGCAAGTAGTACTTTTTGACCTATAGTGTTACGATAGGCATTAAGGAAATTCTGATAGTATTACGGAGACAACTAGTTAATCATTTTGGCGAATACCTGGATATGAGGATATAGGATTAAGACCTAAGAAAACGAATGGATATCCTTAATCTAAATAAAATATTGAAGAACGAATCATACAATATAAAATGCAACATAAAAATATATAATGTACGACATCTTATAAGGGTGATGACAAATGACTGATACGCATTGACTCCATACAGGAGAAACATAACTTATTGTATACATTTTTCCCAACAGTCTATACGAGTATTGACTTCACGAGTATAAGACAATATCTATTATAATAGTATCCATTGTTTTGGGTATATTGTAAGGTACTATAAATAACTACGTTTTAAGTATTTCATTATTAGATTATTTTTGATTGATTAATTTTTGTCCTGACGCGTTACACACTAGAAATAATTTATAAAAGCCTTTGGTGTCTATTGTTTAAAAGGTTTGCTTTAAATGAGGACCGTTAATGAAAATTACCTTTTTCAATTTGTCTAAAATAATTTTAATGACCAAAGACTGTTTTTAGTTTCTTTATGATTCACATAAAAGCTAAAAAATATTGCACATTAATTTTCACCAATTAAAGGCAGTTAAAGTATTTGTCAAACAAATATTAGGAAACGTTTTAATTTATGCTAAAAACTATATCAATGTAAATTTACTTTTTTTGTTCGTTAAAATGGAAACTTTCATTTTATTATGTATTACAGTACTTAGAACAATATTTCGTGTAACCAAAAATACAAACGTTTTGTTATGATTTAAATAAAAGAAGAAATAGGTCAACTTTAGTTAAATCAATCGCCTTTTTTTTTTGTTTATTCAAATCAAAGTTGACAGGTTTCTCCATTGACCGATGTCACCGTACAAATAAAATAATATCTAATTTAGTGGAATTTCTATTCTGTACACTTTGTATTTAACTGCGTTATATCCAAAAAAAATGCAATACAATCAATTTACTCAGCATTGAAGAATTTGAACGATTTTATTTATTTTCTAAAAATTGTTAACTATATTAATATTGCCACGGTGTTGTGAGTTTGTCAATTTAAAGAAAGTGGCAAATGTGAATAATTAATAATTGTAAGTAACAAATTGTTGGTCTTTACTCTGGAGTAACGTTCTGTTTAAATACAGTTAATGACAAATACCATAGAAATGTTGTTAAGAATATGCTATGATTTTTGGCTTAAAAATAATAAGTTTTACAATTTTGAATGATATTATCGCGTGAATTGAATCTCATTTTTGTTAACTCTTGGGCGCGTTTAGGACGTGGACATGGTAGCGGCTTTTTTACCGATACTGCCCGGATTAGATCACTTGGTCAAATGGGGAATCGAACTCACCCAGTTTCAATTCGTTGTGCTCATGAAGAGGCCCAAAGAAAGCGCCACCGGGTCCGGTTTACTGGCGCCTTTCGAGTCCGAGGTACGTTTTCGATATGACCCCGACGACTAATTGCATTATGATGTTTTGTTTGTCTTGTCACAGGTTTGGTTGTTAATACTGTTATCGCTAATAGCGGTTGGCCCTATCATCTACGGCATTATGCTGTTGAGACACAAGCTCTGCGGACGCGAGTCTACCGTGTATCCCATACCCACGTGCGTTTGGTTCGTCTACGGCGCGCTAATGAAACAAGGGTCGTCGTTGAATCCGGACACGGGTAAACAAGAGTCTGAAGAAAATGTTCTGATTAAAAACCAATACACCGTGTGTTGCACTGCAATATGTACTCAGATTCGGCCAGGCTGATTTTCGCTACTTGGTGGATCTTCATAATGATACTGACCTCTTTCTACACGGCCAACTTGACCGCTTTTCTCACGCTTTCCAAATTCACGTTGCCCATCCAAAGCGTGGACGACATAGCAAACGGCGGTTACCAGTGGGTGGCCACAGAGGGCAGTGCGATTGAATACGCCGTCAAGGTGGACAGCGACCTGATGCCGCTCAAGCACTCCATGTACGACGGCAACGGTGTGTTTGTCGACAATTTGGATTTGGAAAACATTCTAAACATCATATCGTCCGGTAAGGAATCCTATCTTCTTAGTATATCATCACTAATCGAAATCAAAAACTGGACGCAGGTAAGTTGCTGTTGCACGACAGGAACTGGCTTAATTTTCTAATGTTGAACATCGAACGGTCCATTACGGAGGACAAGAAACGATGCCGTTACGTGTTGACGACCGACTCGTACTTGACTAGGTCCATGTCATTCGTCTACCCCAAAGACAGCATTCTACCGCCACTGTTTAATCCCATGTAAGTGCACATATCGAGCAAGCAACCCTCGCGATCAGACTTTTACTCTTCCCCAACTTAGCGGGGAAAAATCAGTAGCTGTTAGTGCTTTTCTCCTGGCATGCTTGATCCAGACAAATGAAGAACACCACATCCAGAAGAATTATGTAAAAGTAGAAAGGCATAAGCGACTCTTACAAAATCAACGGCTTCATTGATGAAATGTCCTGCTACCCAATGTAAAAATGGGGCATTCTGTGTCAAACCACGCGGTCATCGGCTTGACTTCCTTAAACTTCTTTTGGTCTAATATAAAACCAAAAACTTATTTTTTTGAAATTTTATCACAAATTTTTGCCCTAAAAATATAGATTTCTTATGTTAATTTTCAAAAAAAAATAAATTTCGACCAGTTTTAAATTTCTGAAATATTTATCATAAAATCAGAGACTTAAATCAAAAAACGGGAGTGGGCCAAGATTTATTTCTATTTTTTTTTTCATAAAAAAAATTTTAATTTCAGTTAAAAAAATGTATTACAGTTAAACTTATTATAAAAAAAAAAACATGTCTTGGTAAATTTTGATTTTTTGCATATTTTGGGAGTAAAAAGTGAAACGTTTTCCTTATGAATAACTTTAAAAATAATACAGGGGCATAGTGTGGACGCAGTGTGCCACGCGGCATCTGAGGTTAAGCTGTGTCCGTTACTGCTTGATCCAGGATGGGTGACCTCCCGGGAAAATTGTCATTATTAAAAAAAAAATAGAAATAAATCTCGGCCCACTCCCGTTATTAGACGAAAAGATTTGATTTCAGAAATTTAAAACTGGTCGAAATCCATTTTTTTTTTAAATAACTTTAAAAACCTTTATTTTGGGGTAAAAATTAGTGATAAAAATTTCAAAAAAATAAAAGTCTATTATTTGACCAAAAGAAGTTTAAAAAAAAATTTCAAAAAAATTTGAGGACGTCAGGCCGATGACCTCGTGGTTTGACTCAGAATGTTCCATATATGTCTTTACTCACTTACTAGATTTAATTACTCGACTACTCGATTTGTCAACTCATTTTATTTACTCGATTTGTTTACACGCTTATTTGATTTATTTTTTACTCGTTTGCGCAGTTTATTTAACAAATTCGAAAAAAATCACCACTCTTCTATACGTTTCTACGTTGCTCAAAAACTCTACATCTCACGAATTTGTAGTTAAGTTTTTTGAATTTATTTTGCTGTTTTCGAAATTCCAGAATGCTGTCGTACATGGAGTCCGGCATTATTAAACACCTGCAGACCAAAGACTTGCCGGAAGCGGTGATTTGCCCGCTAAACTTGGGCAGCAAAGAGCGGCAACTGCGCAACTCCGACTTGTTCACCACGTACGCGGTGGTCATTTGCGGGTTCTCGATCGCCGCCGCCATTTTCACCGTGGAGCTGGTGTCCACCAGAACCGGTTGGTACGTGGAAGCGGACTTTTCGCGGCACAGACGGCGCGACGGCGTGCGCGGCGAGATAGCCGGCTACGGTAAACCGATCAAGTGCATGTACCCGTTCAGTCACCGCAAGAACATAGAATCGGCGCACTTCAGCTTCAACGGACGCGAATATATGGCGGCCAAAGAGGGAACCAACAATGGCGGCGGCTTGGGCATCATTCCGGTTCGAGTGCCTTCGTCGCTGCTGTTCGACAAGACGTTTCGATGGTTTCGCAATTAAGAGGGCGTCGCACCGGTGATTTACAGTGGTAAAAACATGTTTAAGCAGGCTGAAAATAACTCGCTTAATTTTGGTTTTAGAGTAAAAGCACCCATTATAAAATTTAAAGAGAACAATATTCCGGAGGGCAAGACGGTGCGTTTTAAAAAAAAAAAATCATTTTTTGAAAAGTTACAGTCATTTAAAAATGTGAAAATAGTCGTTATTTCTAAACTATGTATTGAGCGTTATACTTGGAATAATGCAAAAAACGCACCCTCGTCTTGCCCTCTGGAATGTTGTTCTCTTTTAATTTTAAAATGGGTGCTTTTACTCTAAATACAAAATTAAGCGAATTATTTTCAGTCTGCTTAAACATATAGAGATAAAAAAACATTTTAAAATCGCTTTCAAGGATGCTGTGATAGTCCGAAAAATAAATTAACTACCAAAATAGAGTCCTAGTTATTGAACTAATAATTACACATCACAGTTTAACCTTTAATTTAAGATGTTGTAAAAAATTGCCTATACTTTAATACTTAAAAATGGGCGGTGCGACGCCCTCTTAACGTCGGAAACAACCCAACTAAAAACTATGAATCAATTGTACAAAGGTACACTTTCAACGATAACTTATCAGAGGCCGTCTTGCGATCAAATTTAAATCAACATTTTTGGGCGAAAATTATTCGGCTAAGTGCTAAGCCAATAATAAAATGTTTAGGAACCAATGATGTAAACAAAAGTATACAATATATATGTATTTTAATTTATAACTCCAAGTTAATATTCTATGGTCTAATTTTTGTTTAACATACGCTTTTGTATGCTGTTCATCAGCACTGACCACTAATATTCAGTCGTTTTGCTCCGATTCAATAAAAATTATTAAAATAACTAATAAGTTGCAGTACATGCAAAAGCGTTGTCCAATAAAGCGTTGTTCCTGTCGATACAAAACTACACAAAATGAAAATGTCTATTTGCTTTAATATAAGCGAAAAGGTTTTCATAACATATGAATAAGAAGTTTTCATTTTTTTTGTTTTGAATTATTGATTATTCTTTCAAATACATCCGACAGTAGTAGTAGCCAAAAGTTGGTTGGTGGCTATAATTTGTGAGTCATAAGTCATAACATAAGGCCAGTCGAGTTCATAAGCTTAACAATAAAACGGTCCAAAGCATTCCAAATTTAAAAAAATTCTAAAACGCCATACATAACCGCTTTTAAAAGATCTTCAACATTTTATTGAATACAACATAATATTAGGTAGCAGTTTATTGACTGTGTAACATCGAACGTGTGTACATTAAATCATTCAATTCAATAAAATACATTACGGTACATTTAACTAGTGTAACACTAGTTAAATGCTAGTGTTCGACGGGTGAATTGTACACGTTCTTATGACTATACTTAAACGGCAGATATAAACTTTTGGAAAATGGAATTAAGTAGTTTGCTCAGACCGTTCTCAATGCGTACCACCCGTGTAAGCATTTTGGCACTGGCGATTCTGTGTCAAACGTTACCCGGCCCAATTCTTTCAAAGTTGTTGCGTCCAAAACTAAAACTCCTGTTCGACGTTGATGTTCAGTTCCTCCCCAGACAATCGAAGACAACACCACTCCGTCGTCCTCGTCCTGTACACACGAAAATTAATAATAACTTACAGGGTTTAGAGAAACTTTATTCACATATACAAATGAAGTTCCAAAAACGTACATAAATTACGGAGGTACTTACTTCAGCGTTGGGCGATGCGACGAAAATCGGTTCACTAGGGTAAACGTTTCGTTCACACCAAGTTATACACTTTTTGTTGACAGTGTCTACTTTGATGATCTATTTAAAACAACATACAATGTAGCATCTTTTAACGTCGAATCCATCAGTGTGTTAGTTTTTGTAAAACTCTACACTATTTGGCACATTAAACATAATAATATATTTATATATAATATAAATACCGTGCCCGGATTTTGCGCGTCCACGTCCGACGAAATGGCGTAGAAAAACCTATATTTATTGCCCGCCCTACAGTCGTTTATCCTGGGAGTTTCACATCCTAAATCGCACAGCGCCTCTGGCCATACGAACGGGTGTTGTGCCGCCAATCTACCGCCGTTTTTTTGGCCTGTCAACGGCAACACAAATCTAAGCGGCCGACTCCGGAACATGGCTGCATAATCCGGATTTTTGTTCAGGTTCTTATGAGACATTTGTAAAAAAAAAAAAAAAATTGTTTATTTGTTCATGTTAGTTTGTTAATTGTTTTTTTTATTTTGGGAACATTTTCTTCGTCCGACCGACTTAAAATCTAACTTGATCTATTAAAGGCGTTAGAAACTGACTGTTTTTCATGTTAAAAATATCTATATATTCATACCAACGTACTGGACGATCTAATAATTATGCTATAAGGACTTTTAAAGCGGGGTTGGATTTCTCATAGTTTCTTCTTTGGACCAAACTATCTTCACGACTTGAAGAAGAAAAACTTTAAAAGTTTGATAACTAAAAAAAATTAATATTTGTTTAACTCGAAATTAGGCGGCGTATTATTTAAAATGATATATTTTTGTTGAATATTGCCTATCCTCTGCCCCTTAATAAGTAACTCTTTCCAATCTCCTTGACAATAATGGATTCTGCAATACACATGCTACAACACCTCTAAGCTAATAATTGTACAAAAATCATCGCCATCGTAGTGTTTTTTTTTTAAGTATGTATTTTTGTATTGTTAGTATGTATAGTTTTTGGCGGGAAGGAGGGGGGCGGTGACGCTCTCAATCTGTGTTTTGCATTTCAACATCTCCTATAATTCAATTGTGTTTTTTTCTACCTACCGTGATTTTACATGACAATCGATCAAAAAAGGTTCGGTCGTGTTGAGGACACATAGGGGTATAGAATAGGATTGTAAGAGAAGAGGTAGACCGAATTATAGAAGTGGCTGAATGTTATAAATAATAGGACGGAGAGACGTATGGTATGAATGAAGATGTGTAAAAACGAGACGAGAATACTAGATTTGCTCTATGCTGATTTTGTAACATTACTTGTAACGCTTTGATGTACATGCAATCGAGCATGGCTGGATCTCGGTAACAGCAAATGTCGATCACCACGCTATCGTCGTTTTCGTACTGGTTGATGATGTGAAGGTAGAAAAAAGACTCGGCCTCGTACGTCGCCACCGTTTGTCCGTCGGCTCGAGAAATCAAATGAATTAAAGTCTAAAAAACATGTAGATATATTATATGCACTACTGTTGGATCACTTAGATCACACGGAGGCCGAGCTGATGTTTACCGGATGGTCTGGGAACCATTTAAGAGCAGAAGACAGCGGTTCTCCGTTGAATCGGTTCACCAGCGCCGTCGGTATGGACACGCTCAACGGTTGTTCGACTATGACAAAGTAATGTTCGGTCATACCGAACGTGTGCATGTAGCCCGGGTGCAAAGGCCACCGACACTTGACCAAAGCCACCACGTGCATTTGATCGAACATCCGGTCGGCACCGGCATGTCGTTGTCCGGTTTCTTTTTCCGGAAACAAAATCGCGTAAAAAAAAAAAACCATCAACACTCTATATGTACAGGGTTTTCCAGCATGAAAGGTAAGCAATAGGTGATTGGTCATCCGGGGGACCCCCCTTCAAATAAGTCCCCCGTTTTCTTTTTTTCGATAACTCAAAAATTGAAGATTTCGACAGTCAAGTAAAAAAGTAATGAATTAAAAAAAAAAAGTTATGCCCCGCTATTTAGTGCAAAAAGCTCACCTTACAAAGAGGGGTCACATCGTTTTCAGTCCCTTTCGGACCATAACTCAAAAAATGATAAGAGAAAAATGATTAGAGACCAGAAATAAATGATAAGTGATAAAAGATAAATGCTAAGACATAATTGATAAGAGATAAATTATGAGAGATTAGAGATAAATGCTAAGAGATAGGGGCTAAATGATAAGAGATAAACACAGATAAATATAATAAACTAGATTACTAACTAGCGATAAGAAATGAAGCCGGCGGTCCGCCATTCTGGTGGAATTTAAGTGTGTTTTCAACGCATATTATATCTGTATATATTATTATATCAATATTATATATATCTGTGATTGTTTTAAACATATATTATTCTAACGTGATAAGGTTCTAATTTACACCAAGATGGTGGAAAGTGGCTGCTTCAATCCTCTTTATTGGTGACATGTACAGTTAGCAATCTAGTTTATTATATATATCTGTGGAGATAAATGATTAGAGACTAGAGATAAGAAATAAATGATAATATAAGTGATAAGAGCAGAGTTAGGGGCTGAAAAAGACTGAAAATGATGTGACCCCTCTTTTAAGGTGAGCATTTTGCACTGAATAACATGGAATAATTGTTTGTTTTTTTAAACCTTCAAGTTTTGAGTTATCGAAAAAATGAAAACGGGGGCTTATTTGGGGGTCCCCTAGATGTCCAATCACCTATTACTTACCTTTCATACTGGAACACCCTGTATAACAATATTCAATTAGGTTTTAATTGTTTTATATACCTGGATCGCACCGAGGAAAACGGACCACGCCATAGTAAGGACCGTCTATTTTGGGAATAGTCGCCAAATTGTACACGTCCCCGTTGGACGCCAAAAGTGGATGCGCAGTGTGGTGCACTATGGCCATTTTCTTAGCAATATTAACCTGAAAACGTGACGACAATCAAAGTATTTAACATAAGTATCTTTACACGCATAAGCGAAACTACAGCCGGTAGGCCCCATAGCACTCCCTAATATCGAGCGAAAATATATTTAAAAAAAAAAAAACTCTAAAAATGTATAACACAACATAATGTGGGAAATTTAACGACAATAATTGTTTATCGGTTTGTTTTTACAAAATAAAACCCGGTAGCGCCAATGGGAAATAATCTCAGGGGAAGGAAGATGCTGTTTCGAATTTTTTTTACTAAAAAGGTTTTGAAAAAACTCGCCAAAATTTCAGTGATCAATGTGACCAAACTGTAAATTCACATTAAAATACAACACTTACATTATTGATCGTTTCCAGGGTCTTGGGATCTATTCTGATCATAACGGGAAACTCCGTCAACGCATAATATTCATCTCCAATCGGATATATTGATATCATTGCGTTATCTGTTTCGTCGGAGTTCCAATTGAACACATTGGCAAACCTGAAAAATACAAATAGGAATCAATGGTTACTACATATTTTGTCTCACATGAATTTTGCCCTTGACAAAAAAGTTTATCCGTACGTTTCTGTTGTAAATACGAATAATAATGTTCAAAATGAGTTGTTAATTGTTAAGTGCAGTTACGTTAAAAAATGTATGATTGTAGCAAGGTTGATTAGGCAGCGGTAATTTTAAAACTAGGAATAAAATCTCTGAATGATTAACTAATAATAGAACAGGTACAATGGTAAACAGTAAACGGTTAACATTTAACGTCTCAAACCAGTGGTCTGTGATAAACAACAATATTTAACAATTACCTGTGGAAAATCGTTTGACACGGGTCTGGGCAAGCTTTAGTTCCGAACTCAGTGACGACAATCCTCTGAGCTGCGTGGTTTTGTTTGTAAGTATTGGATTTCAAAAATCTGCATTGGTACGTCACTGTGCCGTTATCAAATGCAAATCTGTTTGAGAAGACTGAAATTCTGTACACGAGTGTATGAAATAAGACAATGATGTGCACATACCTGTGTAGTAGAGCTGAGCTATCGAATAAGTGTTTGAATTCAAATTTCCCGACACGCGTGCAACCTGGTCCGTTTCTTAGCAGTGATCCGGTTAACCATTTTGGTATTTTACCTGTCACACGACGTTCACGATTATTATTACACTTGTATGTGTGACATAATATGTATTTTTTTGTTTTTTAAATCAATAGTATGACCTTGACAACCGGGATAAGAGGCTGAACAAACTATGATTTGTGCATATGTATTTACCACATGAAAAGAAGATACCATTAGTATGAGAAACAAACAGTTCGTCTCGAGTTGTATTGTTAGCAAAAAAATCGCTCACCTATGGTTTTGCCATGAATCGGACTAGTAGTCTCTTTTGTACAACTTCGAAGCCATATAGAATTGTCGCAGTTCGGGTACAGGTCTTCGCCGGTGTTTAATTTTCTTACCAACGCTTCCCTGTCTTCGTCGTCGAGTCTTGGGAATAAATCTTTGATCGTCGCTGGGTGCACGGTACCCGACAGAGCCATCAGATGCTTCAAGTTCTGCACAATCCAAACCCGATACTTTTTACAACGCTTTAAAGCCGACTTTATTTTGGTTATCATGTTATTTGTTTCACTATGGTCGCCAAGTGCGCATTATAAACGTGACTAGCAAACGTAGTACTAATGGGCGACACGCGGTTGTGCTTTAAACAGTCAACTGACTGTATAACTGAAGGTATACACGTTATTGGATTACGATTTATATACATAATATATATATATGGATTTTTGTAAGGTTTCCGAAGAAATAAAGGCCGCGATTTATCTTGGTCGACTTACCAAACGACAAAACGTTTACAGCGGTGATTTGTATACAAGTTGCATAGCGTTATGGATTTTATTACCCGATCGATAAAAATAAAAAATTGAAAAATCCAATTAAGTACCATACGAATTACAACACGAGTCCTTTAGTCGTTTGCGGACTAAGAGAACTTGAAAATTGTACACTTATCTTTGTTGTTGCATTGTTAACCGAATCTACTACCGAAATGAATGTGTGTGTTTCATTCTCGTGTGCTACCCGCAGCGTTGAAAATAAATCGATTGGCCTTTTTCCATATTATGACGTAAGTCCTAAGAACATCTCATAAACGATACACGGTTATTATATAAAAAACAATATCTAAAATATAATATACATGTTGAGCAATTTATGTAACGGTTTTGTCTTTTTATTCCACTAATGTGATTAATATTTGTACAAGGTCACAAAAAACAAAAAAAACAAAATGTTTCCATAAAAATATATATTTTGGTTATTACAATAATATGTGTCGCATGCGGTCTGTTTTTAAGGGGTTTTGTATAGGAAAAATTTAAGAAAAAAAAGGTTGTAATGAATTACTACCATGTCGCTTGTCGCATTTGTCTCTGTTAATTTGTATAAGCTTCGAGCAGTTCAAGGTATTATTTTTTAATTTAAATATTTTTTTCTACGAGTAAAAGCCGTTTTGAATAATTTTAGAACAAAAAGCCAGACAAAATTTCGACTACATAGGACGGTCAAATTTCAATTCTGTAAAGAGATTAGAGTGTTTTGGCTATAAACATTTTAGTTTATTGCAATTAAATGAATACAATTTTCAATTTTTTTTCCCATAAAAAAAGCAAAAAATTAAAAATCTGTTTCCTGCATAACCTAGTAAAGTTGCCAAAGAACTTTTATATCGAAATTTTACGCACAATGTTATTTATTAAAAAGGCTTAACGCCGAGTAAAGATTAAGTGATTGATAAAAGTGTATTAAAATGAACGGAAAGCAATATAAATATGATATATGTATTTTAATATAAAGGTTTTAAACCTGATACCTGGTGGTCCTTTGGTAATCCGGTGATAGAGCAGCTAAAGTGACACACACACACAATATAAAAAGAGCCGAATAATTAGGTAATTATTAAATGAGATATTAGAGCTTAGATAGTAAGATGTCAATTAATTAGTATATCCGTGGATACGAGTGCTGTCCATCGGTATGAGACGCACCACTCCCTCTCCTCTAAGTTTTATATTCGAGTAGGCTAGAATCATAACTCGCATAATCCAAAAACCATATTTTTCAAAAAACGCAAAAAAATCAATTTGCATTTATATCTGTTTTCATACCTACTAACCACAATTGCACGGGTTAATCCAGACAGGTTTTTTAAGGATTTTAAAACAAATTAATAACACGTTCGGATTCAGCTTTAAAAATCCTATAAGACAGTGTTGTTGACACCTGTCATTTTCTCTTTTCGGATCATGTAAGTTTTGATTCTAGCCTACTCATTTATAATGCACCCCAAGTGTAAATTGTCTCAAGAATAAATTTGAGATTAAATTAAAAACAGTTTATATATGGTTTTACGACCCGTGCAAATTGTTTAAAGTCGTTATGGACAAATAGTATAATTTAATTCAAGAATTTCGCAAATAATATGTACTTGAATTAGTATATAAATTATGCATGGAAAAAAGTGTACATTCAAAAGGTTACCCGGCCTTGCCCAATACAGGTCTGAACACGTAATGCGTCCCAGATCCGGTTACCTTTTATGGTTTAAATAGCCAAGCAAAAAGGATCCATCAGTGAGACGATTCTATGCACCGAAGCTGGAAGCATCTTTTGCGAGACGCAGAACGACATACCAACATCTTTTGCATTATTGTATGGTACAAATATCTGTAAAGTATTATTTTAAAAGTGTTTGTATATTTTGTTTATATGTTCAGTTTTAGTGAATATTAATAATAAATATCATTAAATATTATTGCAACGCGGCAATATTTGTTCAAAATTTCAACTACAACCTACAATCGTTATTTCTGTTACGCTCTTAATTTCAAAAGGGCTCATAACAAAGTATATTTTTTATTTTTTTTATTTTTTTTTTATTTTTCAAAAACAATCTATACAAATATGTATGTACAATAAGTTTTTTTTTTATCTAAATTATAACAGGGCATGTATATCTTGAAAAGGAAGCTACCCATTGGTAACACCTCTAAACAAAATATAACAATGGTAATATGTTATTATTGAGGCAATTAAACATTTACATTAATTACTTTATTTTTGTATGTTCAGAATTTGTGTAAGGACTATACCTCCCCCCTCCTCCCAAAGAAATGCTCATCATGCTACACCTACGCACCCTTCCGTCCAAAATCACAAAATATTGCCTATCCAACGACAAAGACATTATTTATTGTAATTTTATAAAATATATTAATTTTCGTTTTCATATAAAATATATTCATGAATTATTCATAAACGATACTGTAAAAACCACATTTCACAGATCCAACGTCACAGCGGACGTGTAGATTAGACTAAAACGGATTCTGTTTTCTGTTGGCGCTAAACCTGTTAAAAAATTAGGTAATAATTTACAATGACCGCCACAAAAAAAAAAAAGTCATTACACCAAGGACAAGGTCGCAAGCGTGTAGAGAATAGCTTGTATAACTTGTCAACTGTCTACACGTCTAGTCTTCCAAATGAAAGTAAATTTATTTTCTCACAAAAAATCTTATTCATATTTTGCCAAGAGCCATACTGAGGGAGATGCGGGCGTGTAAAAGTCAAAACCAAGTTGTTGCAGTAGAAATTTAATGTTTATTGATGAATTTACCAAGAAATAACGGAAAAAGTAAATGTATCATTTCAACGACGAAATAGGAAAAATAAATGACATATTCTTCTTCGACCCTGGCGCATCCGAAGACAAGGTTGCTGAAGCAGAAGAAAAGCTGTTTATGTTGGTCTACCAGGCGCCAGAAGAAATTAATCTTCGACTTCGACGTGCAGCGTTCATCAAGGCTTCACAACTAAGCTGAAACCTGATTGGACAGCCCTACAACCGATAGAAACCACGATGGCAGCGGTAAGGCCCGTTAAGCATGATGAATTTTCATACTTGCATTTGTGTGATACACATTTTTCGACAAACTACAGTAGTGTGTTTTCTTATTTACAGATCCAGCAACGGCTTCTTCCAAACTTTGACAGAAAAATAAAATTTTCAACCATGAAATAGGGATGGACCCCAAGGGTGGTGATGGATGCCTCGTCCCACTGACCCTATAGCTCCGGACTCATTAAGAAATTATATATTTCTGCGAAGGACATTGTGGCTGCAGAAAAGCACTTGTCACGGTGTTTGTACAAATGGTCCTCCTGGACAGGACATGCAAGATGGCAGTGATGACCTTGAAGATAGGATTATTGATAACACAACCATAATAATGTTAGTAATCATGATGATCATAATGACGATGTAAGCCTGTAAATAGTGTTTTGAAATATTATACCTACCAGTTTTTCCTTAAGTATTTTCGATTTTTTCATCACCTGCTCTACACAACTTCCTTAATAGTAATAAGTTGGGCAGACTCTTAAAGGGGTAGGAAATTAAATTTTATCTTCAAGTATTGCTCCTAAGCAAAACACGAATAGAACCTATTTGTTGAAAATTAAATTTACTTTCAATTTGTATAGAGTGACTTTTTCGCTGAGACCCTAAGTTTTCTAGATATTTATGAAAAACCAAACGTTATACCTTGGGGTCACGAGGGCGACTTTTGGGTGTCACATACCTTAATTAATTTGCACATTCCATACATCCTAGACATCCGAGTACCTTAGTAGAGGCACATTTGCAAAGTGTCCCGGCGATATTTGTTAATCAGAGTTCGGCTAGGGATAATCCCATCAATTTTATTGGTGACACAATAAGGTTACTTGTTTAAACAAGGGCTTACTAGCATTTAGTACTTAAGTTGTCTTTGTCCTGTTGACGTCAATATTTGCTTGTAACGACCACAAGGAAAACGCGTAGATTGTACTGTTTTATTTAATTTGCATATTACTATATAACCCTTTAGTGAGACTATCTAGTCGTTCAACGTGATTGGAACCATCTTGTATGTATAACATATTTACTATGACTACCTATACTGTTAAACTAAGATTAAAGATGCTATTTCAATTGCATGTGAAAGAGGAGTGAAATGTTTAGAGCCGCGTTACTTTTATAATATTAGAGGTAATAAGTATAAAAAATTATCAATATCGAAAAAACTCGAATGATAAAGATAAAACGAGTTTTCGCTATTATCGGTGCAATACTGCAACCGCGAAGGTCACCTTAAGTTAAAATGTAGGACAAAAGGGGAAAAACCACCGAAATTTGTCTAATCTTACTTATAATCGAGGTGGGTACTGTTAAACGGGAATATGACTATAGTGTCAAAGTGGTGTACTCATATTGTATAAAAACAAAAACACGAGATTAAATTTTGCAGAAAAAGCAATTGTAATGAACAAAAAAAAGCCAGTACAGTGGCGTCGGGACATAGTGGGGACGGATAGGTCACAGGTTTACAGATTTTATTATAAAACTGAAAGTGATAAAATCAATTTTAAATAAACGCTTCGTTTCGAATCTGTGGATAATATGTTCAAACCAGTTATAGCGGTTTAGAAGATATCATGGGACCAGCAATAATGTACTTAAAATTTAATATTTAGTCTTGTGCAGCAGGGTGGATACGATAAGGGTTGATCTATAAAAATGTACTGTCATAGTTAGTTACTCATATATCGTAATTAACAATATAATGAAACTATTTTCATTACCTGTTGACTGTTGATTCACACACACATAGCAACCTAGAAACTGACTACGACCAAAGTGTATATTTACCCTAATTTTGGTGTTTTTCCTTAATAAAAAAAAAATTTGACACAAGATTTTTAAGAAAATTGTATACGTATAGTTCCATTTTAGATCTACCTTTGGTCTGATTTTCACATCTAAATCTCAAAAACTGCTTGAAAAACTGAAATAAAGAAAAAAATTCTATCCCTTCTAAGGGAAAGGGTTTATAATAAATTGTTTTGGTTTGTTAATGTTTATCGATAGTACTATGTTTGAAGAAAAATTCATATAAATTTGGAACTTTTTCGACTATTTTTGAAAAAGTTATAGAGCATCGTAATTTTAAGTTGAAAAATTTGTACATTTTTTGGGTGATTTTCTCGATTTTGATGGGGAAGGGGTGACTTTTTTTAATTTGTGGTATGATTTCTAATCTATAGAGTTGCTACGCGTAGAAATCGGTTCACGAGATATCGTGGGTCTAGACACAAAAATAAAAACACATCATTGTAAAAACAGTAACGTCTCAGCTAAAAAAAACGGGTGTAATAATTCTGACAATAACGACAACTGCGACGAAAACGTTTCAGGTTCAAATCGACGGGTTCACACAAAAGAAGTAAATCTAGTTTTTTTTTTATTGACTCGTCAGTCAAGTTTTTGGTCGGCAGATAGGCTCAAATGATTATAGTTAAATTTAATTCACCTAAAGGTGATCTTTTCATATAAATTGACGCAAAAATGCGTCTTAATTAATATACGTCAATACAATTTATTGTGGGTAGATAATGAATTGAACGTGTGACGTGGGGTTTCACAATGTCTGTTTTATGATTCTCACGTCAAACCAGCATTTTGGATGAAGATATTTTCTAGTTTTTATTCAGGCAGTAATAACGAAGGACACGTTCCCAGGGCACAACGATTGGGGGGGGGGGGCAACGTGACAATAGCAAAAAATCTATAATGAGCCTGTCAAACTAGCTGGATACGTTTTAGGGGTAATCCAACACTTTAGTTTTGACTTCAATGAAACAAAAATAATCGATAATTTTTCGCGAAAACTGGACAAATGTATTTTTAGTGTTTCGGATATTAAATATAATAGAGTTAAAACATTTAATTAAAATGAAACGATAATGGAATGTATTTACTCTTGATAAATAACAAAGAAGCGATTAACACTGAATTATTCACATTGAAATATTTATAATATTAAGTATGATACACCACGTGTGTGCTAACTGCACGTGTAACTGACAACTGGACTAAATTAGATATTGAATTGATGAACGGCGCGGCAGAGTAGGCTGATACACTATCGTCGATGCTTCTAGAATTGCCTATACTATGCCCCTGGCATGTTTATAGAACGTTCCTTAGTCTTGGCGTGTGTGATAATGTATTCTTGTCAACACGTTCTTAAAACAAAACAAGGCAATTATGGATGTATATTATGATAGTTTTTATTTTTATTTGTAAAAATAATTTTTGATTGTTTATTTTTATGTTTTGTTTAAGAGGGCGTCGCACCGCTCATTTTTAAAGAGTAAAGTATAGGCAAATTTTTACAAAATCTTAATTTATAGGTTAAACTGTGGTGTGTAATTATTAGTTCAATAACTAGGACTCTATTTTGGTAGTTAATTTATTTTTTGGACTATCACAGCATCCTTGAAAGCGATTTAAAAATGTTTTTTCATCTCTATATGTTTAAGCAGACTGAAAATAACTCGCTTAATTTTGGATTTAGAGTAAAAGCACCCATTATAAAATTAAAAGAGAACAATATTTCGGAAAGCAAAACGGTGCGTTTTTTTCCAATACTCTAAGTATAACGCTTAATACATATTTTAGAAATAACGACTATATTAACATTTTTAAATGACTGTAACTTTTCAAAAAATGTTTTTTTTTTTAAATGCACCGTCTTGCCCTCTGGAATATTGTTTTCTTTTAATTTTATAATGGGTGCTTTTACTCTAAAACCAAAATTAAGCGAGTTATTTTCAGTCTGCTTAAAGATGTTTTTACCACTGAAAATCACCGGTGCGACGCTCTCTTAAACAATTTATATTTCACTTTTGTATCTTATATTTCTCAATACTATATATTTGTTATATTTAATTACTGTACTTGAGCCTTTGTCGTAAATTCAAATAGCACTAATAATAATAATAATAATAATAAAATAATGTAATAATAATATATAATATTGTACAATATTATAAATAAATAATATTTATATTTATATATAAATAAGTTATTATTTTAGTACCACGGTATGCGGGAAATATGGAACGGAGTAGATAATTACTAGAATAACAAATTTACAATATTTGAATAAAAAATAATTGTCTTCTTATACATACAGGTTTTCTATTTTTTTTTTTGTAAATATAGTATGTATTATATTTATATGAAACGAATAAATGATAATTTTTCAAAAATTACTTTTTAAATTATTTAAATACAAAATCATTTGAATAATATGTAATCTAGATGATTATTTAGATAACCTTTTTGAACTCCAATGACGGCCATCAGCTCTGGCCATAATTTCAATACAGACATCACATACTCTCACAACCACACGTCTTGTTGACGATTCTGACTTTTTGACAAGTCAAACTGTCTTAGTTGAGCACATACATTGTACAATATGATATTGTTCGGTAGTACAATAAAGATACGGATCCTTTGCGTCATACATGAAAACAGAATAAACTCGAAATGAGTTCAACGAGTCTGAAGAAAACGTAGTATTCATGTACCCGCGTTACGCAGCTGCTGTCTTTCCATTACAAAACATAGACAACTGGCCACATAATTCTTGGCCAAACACGGACAGTCCCCTATAGTTTTTCAACTCTCTATTATGCAAGTAAAATAATTGTTCACGTTAAATATTATCCATGGAGAAAACAGAGAATGCTTTTTCGTATATCAAGTCGATTAATAATCACCTGTTGTCGCCTTTTAAAAAAACCTGGCGGTTGTTACGGATATAAAGTTTATAGGCATACATGGAAACTATATAATATTATGTCAGTTTAAATAATAAAAAAATATAGAAAGAATAATAGTTTAAACTACAAGTAGTTGTAAGTTTGTAAATATGCAAGTAGGTCACGCGTGTGCGTATGTATACATATGGCGTGTAGTGTAAAAAGTCATTGTTCAGATAGTTAGCTTTGGCCGTCGTAGTGCTTGTAGATAAAACTATAGTTTGATTTCTCGGAGTGTTGATTTTCGCATTTTCTTTTAAAATTTAACCCTAGTGTTTCCATCCTAAATTTTTTTTATTTAACCGCACACTGGACATTGGCCAAACTAGACGCTTAACAGAGGTACAGTGTTAATATTAATTACAACATACAAATGTACTAACATTTTTCGTTAAGAATTATATCAAAATATACCAAATTGTTCAATTTTAATGAATCATTTTTTGTAAATGATAAATACAAATTATCTAAATTAAAGTAAAACAGATTAATAAATACAAGTACAACGTTGGCTTAATTCTAATTTTTCCACTACTCCAAAACCCCAAAAGTATTATAGAGTACGAAAGTTAAATTTTTTTTTTTTATATAATTTCAACGCATCATTATGCACCATTTCAACACAAATCGGACAGTTATTTTTTTCATGAAATAAATTGTTAGTTTTTTTTTTTTTTTGATACACTGT